CTTGTAGCGCCTCCAAAACTGCTGCTTGGTGTCGCGCAGCTCGGTCTCCCCAAGCATGGTGTCCAAGTCCGACAGTGCAATCTTGGATCGATCCTGCTCCACCTGACGATAGTAGAGTCCCACTGCGGCCCACGCTCTGCGGACTCGAGCTGTCATCAGCAGCGCCTTATCCCCCAGGCCCAGCTTAGCTACCCAGGGCTCAATGGCTTGCTCAGATGCCCAGAGGAAACGCAACTCTTGCAAGCTTTCGACGCCCAACCGGAGCAGGGCTTCAATTACCCCATCATCCAACGAGAAGTTGTCACCCAACTTCCTTAGGATTTCCTCCGGGGAACCCTTTTCCAGTGGGACTTTATCAGTCTCCATGGCCTATTCTCGAGGACACCCCTCTAGCTAAGGCCCAGGGATCCCCTCCCTTTGACTGAAAACTGCGCCTCGGGTCTTCCCCGTGCGTTGTGCTGGAACAGCCTGGCGTGGCATGAAAGAAATGGACACTGACATGCACTGTTGTTACGTCCGTACATGTGTACAACTCACAGCTGTGTGTTGACCTCACATGACATCACCTTCATGCCGCCACAGCGCTATGGTACACTAGACTGTCTGAGGTCCCCCTCCCAGATGGTCTTGTGCGGTGTTGTGAAAAGAAAAATCTTGAAAACACAGCAAAAAGGCATGAGGGCAACGGCAATCGCTCAGTGGGCACCCCACTGAAATTCACCTGGCCCTACTGTTTTTCTCTCGCGCATGATGTCACTGCTGGGGGCCGTCATGCAGGCTGGATTGAAGCTCTTATCCAAGCCCCGAGCGGATGAATTCGGCTCTCCATGGCCGGAACGGGCCAGTGCTGCTGATCAGCGCAAAGGCCAAAAATTCGGCTTGGGCATCCTAGGCAGGCGGCCACCATGACGCTGGCGCTCGACGGAGGCACTGGTCACACCAGGGGCGCTCCCATGCCAGAGCTTCAAAGACGTCTGTGGACATGTATGGGTTCACCAGGCGTTTTGCCTTCCCGTCAGCCTGCTTGTGCTGACACAAGGTGATGCCATCCTCGACCGTGACATGGGTACTGGACCGCTCCGTAGCTGCATATCCCTGCGGCTCAGGGTGCTGTGTTCCCACCGCAGTGTCCTGGAAGGTTTTATGCAGCCACTTCCGCATGCCTTGGTCGCGAATCACCTTGTTCAACTCTGTGTCCCGGCGGCTCTCCACGTAGTGGTTGGCATCGTCAATGGACTCACCGGCCAGCAATGCACGGCAGAGGATGCCTAAGAAAGCACCCCGGTGTCGCCCCTTGATGCAGTGCACCACGACGTTGTCGCCATGCCAGACTGTGTTCTTGACAGCCGGCCACACGTCTGTCCACTGTTCGTTGCGTTCCTGGCTGTATGCCGCCGCGAAGGTCATCAACTGAGCTCCCGGGAGGGTCACCCCCCCCCGGCTCTCAGGACCATTCGGGAAACAGCAGATCTGCAACGCTGTCTTGGGGAACTTGTCCACCGTCTGCCTCATTGGAAGTCCTGCCAGGTAGATGCCACCACCTTTCCGGGACGTCCAAATGCAAGTAGGGGCCTGGGCTGTCCCTGAGCCCACACCCAAACGCTCCAAGTGTAGGTCCAGGGTGTCTCCGGCTGCTTTGCCACGGCCTTTCTTTGGCATGGCCTTGGTCTGTGGCTTCCCAGGAGCTGCCAAGCGCTTCGGCGTTGTGGCTGTAGCCATAGACTTCGCAGCTGTGGCCGGTGGCTTTGGTGTAGTGGCTGTCGCCTTCGGAGGTGTCTTGGGGGCTGCAATGGCTGGCGCCTTGGGCGGAGTCTTGGGTGCAGCTTGACCTCGGGCTTTCTTGACAGCTGTGCGCATCACCTCTGCCATCTCGTCGGCTGTGGCACCGCTCGCCGCGGTCCTTTTCCGGCCAAATGTGGCCTTCTCCCCCACGGCTGCCGGCACCAAGGTGGCCGATGGCTTGGGTGCCGCTGGCACGGCCGTTGCGGCCAGCACCGCTCGCTTGATGTTGCAGATGCCTGCGCCGTGCTTGCCACCACATGCCCGTCCTGACTTTTGTAGGATGGCACACAAGTGCACTCCGAAGGGGCAGGAGTCTGCCGGATTCGGGCACTCGTCCGTCTGGAATTCCGGGCAAATGGCCTTGCCATTTTTCAATGTGGCTGTCAGCACCTTGCCATTGAGTTGATCAGGCATCTGAGGTGCCGGTGCGGCTTCGGCCTCTTGCCGGGCTTGCTGCGCCGCTTCAACGAACTGCTGTGACAACTTGAGCCTCTTCTTCACGTCCATGGAAGCTGTGTGCAGAGGCCCACATGGGTTGGCGGTCTTGTCGCAGCAATCTGTCGGCCTCAGTCAGGCCATAAGCTCGGGCTGCATCTAGCTCTGCCTGCGGGATCGCCTCCCACAGCAGATTGCTAGCGAGCTTGGCTGTAGCGCCCCAGATCAGTGATTTCACCTTGACCGACGCAGCGTATTTCGCCGACGAATAGTGAAATGCCATTGCCCCCACCTCTGGTTGCTCGCTCTTGTTTTGCCAGTCGCCCAGGGCTGCCATTTCTTCAGGCCTGCATCCTAACAACTGGGCCACCGTGGGTGCAAGCCTCCTCCAGCTGTAGGTGGTCAGGTCTTCTGGATTGTCGAGGAACACGGACATTTCCTGTTGCATCGTCTCTTGCACTTCCAGGATCGTCCAAGGTCGCCCTTCGTCCGAAAAACAAAGGCCTGCAAGTCTCTGCCTTGCTGGTGCCAGCGTCCTGTATGCCTCCAGCACTTCCTTGGCCCAAAAGAAGCCGTTGGCAAATGTGGCCGGCACCGCAAAGTCGAATCCTTCACGAGCATGCTTTTGTTTTCCTTTAGGGCACCTGCAATGGAGAAATGCAGCTGTGAGGCGCCGAGGTTCTGACCGCGCGATGTGCGCATACCTCAAACAGCCAAACGACATGATCCAAGGGGCCAGGAGAACTGACCACCTCTCATCGCCAACCGCGTCCAACTCCATGATGCGGTCCTCCAAAGCCTGCACTAACGGCGGTTCCACCACCGGTGCTTGCCCACGCTGCCCAGTCGCCCTGGGTGTTGTAGGCACTTGCAAGTTTCCCAGCTCCAGGTCTTGGTCGGCATTCTTGTTCATCCATTTCAAGGCTTGGAGTGCTCGTGCTGGGGCCGAGGTATGGTTCAGGAACTGATCCAGGTCGACCATTCCAGGAGGAGCGGGCCGCCCCCGACTCTCCAAGAAGGCCCTCAGCTCCAACCATGTGTTGACCACTCGGTCGATGGTCGCCTTCTCTGCATCCTTCACCTTCTTCTCGGCGATCCTCTTGCACGTTTGTTTCCATTCTGCCTTGAGGGTGTCTGTCAAGATGCCAGCTGGTTTGTATGCACCCATCCCGACAAACATCGACACCAAGCCGTTCACTCGCTTCTGGACGGCTTCATCCAGGTTCTTGTCGACGTTGACGGCCTTGGGCTTCTTCTTGTAGATTGTTTTGCGCACAGGGCGCAGAGTGACGGAACCCTTGGGGTTGTCCTCCACGACTTTGGCCCCAGCTGCAAGGAGATGCTCTTCCACCCTTGCTCTTGTCTGCAGCCAGTCATCCGCTACGTGATGGCCAGCTAGTCCAACGACTTGATCGTAGTCGGTGTAGGCATAGGCAAAGTCGTTGTCGTCCAGGAGGCCTTCGTTCTCCCTCCATTGACGCGCACGTTGTGCAGCTATCATCATCAAGGAGTCGGCTGCTCTCCATCCTGGTTCAGGGTCACCCCCTGACGAAGATGAAGCTGCCGCTTGAGCTGCGTAGTAGCCTTTGCCGCCTGATGCCATGGCACTGCACCCTAACAAAATTGCTAAGGTGCGGAGAGCAAAAAGATGCTGCGGTGACTTCAGAGGTGCCTCCTCTGTCATAAAATCAACCTGCAGCAAACATCTTCTTACGTCCTCCACAAGTGCTGCATGGCTCACGCCAGGTGAAGCAGTCACTACACATCCCGACGCAGCATGCCCGGCACACGCGCCTTGCTGTGCCCAGCTGAAGCACGCCTGCATCCTGGCATTCCAGCCATCCACATAGCGCTCGATGTGCCCTGGCGCCTTCTCTCCCCCAGGCAGCCCAGGGTCGCCCCCTAGGTGCTCTGGGAAAGTGGCGCGGCTCAAGGAAGACCGGCAGGAGCTCGTGAGGGCCTGTGCATCTGAGCCAGCTCCTCCATTGATCGAACAGCTCCCCCAAGCCCAGTTGCCCAGCGTCGCCCGCTGTGCACCTGAGCTGCAACCCGTAGAGATCTTGGGGCACGACGTCGGCGGCCACTTTGAGCTTCGTGTAGGCAGCGACCAGCAGCAGGTCCATGGGGTCCTGGTGCTGGTAGTAGTACGCCCAAGCATCCGCAGGCGCCACATCATCGGGCAGCACAACGCCACGGCTGTTCCACAAGCCGAGCCACGGGAACTTGAACCCCCCCACATGAGCTGCGCAACGCTGGCAGTCATCAAGGCAACAGGGTAGCTTCGGCAGGGGGGGAAAAGCTCTGAGTCTGTCCCAGTCGTGATGACGTAGGGGGAATGCAACACTTCAATCCCATGCATCCAGCATGTGTATGCTGCAACGTCAGAGCCCTCCCGCGCCAGCCTTTCCACGTGGCCCTTGAACTCCAGAAAAGCAGCCGCATGGAGGATCTTCGCCTCGGTGGCTGCTGGGATATCGATCCCTGGGAGTTTGCGCTGCATACAAGGTCACCCCTTGTGTAGAGTTTGAACCACCCAATCAAGGTCTGGAAAGGTCACCCCTTACCAAGACCAAGAAAGAAAACAGCAATGAATGCTATTTTGGTTCAAGTTTACTTGAGCCAAAATGATAGCATTCATTGAAACACTTAAAGATGATACATGCACACCCAAGCCTGCCAAACTCAATGCATGGGTAGTATACATATATATATATATAAATACACAGAATCACAAGCTTTGACTCTGCTTCAATGCTCTGTCAATGTCATCAAAGCCAACGCACCTTCTCTCGAAGTTCCCCTGCACGGTGATTTAGCCCTTTCTGCATCAAATGCATTTCCTGCCAGGGTGGTCAAGTAGGAAAGGGAGGCAAGGGATGCAGGGTAAGATGTATCCCATTCATGGCATTGGGACTGTGCCGAGCGGTCACAAAGAAATTGGCAATACACAATACACAACTTGAAATCAAAAAGTCCGTGCTCCACAGTACTTGGTTGCTGAAGGAAAACAAGTTGGTTTATTGCAAGGTTTGCAGAGGGAAAACGACTGTAGCTTTGTAGAAGAGGTTCGACCTCTGCAGCAAATTGCTCACCACGCATTGCGAGCGGGAAGAGGAGAAACACAAGATGGAGGTAAACCTGCAGGTTTTTCAATGTGGCAAAACACAAGCGTGAAACCCCGGCCAAATAGAGCTGGCGAGGATTATCATCAATAGTATTCATATATGTAGTAATGCGCATATATATATACACACACATAATATTATTTATATATATACATTATATTACATTACATTAAATTATATCATATTATATTATATTATATATATCATTACATACACTGTCTATGCAAATAAATACATTATGGTCATTATGGGCTGAATTGCATCATTGCACTTGAGCGGTACTGTCTTGTCCTTCAACTTTTGCTTCACTCATGCGCCTGCGGTTTTTGGCGCACAAAATTCTGGAAGCCATTGAAGCTGACTCCACCTTGCCAGGCTGCCAAACAGCCAGCGTGGGCACTTTCGTGTGAAATTTGGCTGAAGGATGCTGAAGGATGCTGAAGGTATTTCCTTAAAGACATGGCTCGTAACGGACTGCATTTGAACTCTAACTCATTGACTTGCTGAATATGCTTGCAAGTGCATACTGCTTGGCATCGCTCAAAGCATGATGACTTGATTCCTGACTTGTGTGTGTGTGGTATGCACACTTGGACATACTCTGTAATGGGGGCGTGTTCTTGCCAGGTACTGCAACGGAAAGTTGTGGAAATCTATCGAAGGAAAGAGTACTTGATGGGGCTGACGGATGCGAGAAACCTCTTGTGAAGATAGCACTCCAGTTGTCGCAGTCGCAGGCGAATTCTTGCTGCACGGAGATCCAGGCAGGCTGCAACTGTCGTGCTCTGGTTGCTCTGGCACTTTTGCATGTCAGTGAAGGTGCATAGGATTGGCATCGCACTGTTTTTTCATTCGTCTATTCCATAGTGTTGCAAGCTGTTTGTGCTCCTGTTCGAGTTTCATTGCTCAATTCTGCGAATATCGCAACCCATGTTTCCTTCATGTTGCCGGTTGGGACACGTGGTGTGTGACAACGCAATACAAAATGTTGCACTGTGGCGCTCTACATCTGACCGTAGGACTGTCCTTTGTGAGCTTCGTGGCTTAGTTTTGTATTACTGTGGGACCTTTCAGTATGCGGGTTTGGGGCCAACCGGACTTCGCGGTCAGCCAAGATACCCTTAGATACCCAAAGAGGCAAAAGAAATCAGATGAAAAATCGGATGGGAGGAAATCAAATGCAAATGATGAAATCAAATGAAATCAGTATGTAAAATTGTCAAACTCCGCAGTTTTGGTCCCAAGTTTTCTGAGGCACAGACTCTGACCAGATGCCCTCAAGCTTTCCTTCCAGCTACATCTCATACTGGGCACAAAATATAGAGTGCATGAGAGCAAAACCTGACTGCCTGGCTCACTCTTCCAGCCGTCAAGGTTATGAAATATAGACTTCTGATAGAAAGCTTATCTTTCCTAACCTCACATGTTGGATTCACATTTGCTTTTACGTCCGCTACAAGAGAAGGACATCAAGAGGACTCCAATAGGAGTTCACAATAATTTTGCCAGGAAAACAAAAAGGACCATGAATTAAAACTTGCAGGAGTCAGGGCTGCCACAGAATTGAAAAAAAAACTCGCAGGGCTTCCTGCAAAAGGAATAGAAAAGAAAACGAAAGAAATCACAAGAATAATTATATATATATACAAACTGATCGAACAGTATCGAACTGTTGAATCTCAAGTCATCGACTCAACTTGAGGCGCAGGGGCAAGGGACGAAAGCTAGCTTGGCAGGGAGCTTGGGATCAAAAAACTTGCGGGCGCTGCCGATTTCGCTGCCGGTGGCGACATGCCGACGGTGCCCCCGGGGGATTGAGCCACTGCCAAACTGCTTGTGAACCAGCCAGGGGGGAGGTACATAAGGATGAAGTTTCACGCGATTGGAGATTCCAGCCCCCCAATACCTTGCTAAAGTAAGAGGGACTTCAGTTACGAGAAGCTGGCTTTCATGATGATACAGATTCTATCATGATAGAGCGTACTGGCCTGACTTCGAAGCAGCGCACCAAAGACGAACCTCATCGCGACCAAGCAGGCTACAAGTGGCGAGCGGTACCAGTCAGCTTTGAAAAATGTTGAAAGTATTGAAGCTAAAATCTTAGAGTCTTAGACTCACTTAGTCCCTAACTCTGACAACGCTTGGACTTCTTCTGAACTTTCTCGAAGTCCTTCATCGCTGAGGAAGAGCTTCAAAGATTGAAATAAGCTTTGTGAGCATACGGGCTTCAGGGTAGCATCATCCTTGAAAGCTACCGCAGCTCCAGCAGTATAGGTCACACCCTCGTGACCGGTTAGCGCACAAAACACAAGTCGACACAAGAGGTCTGAAAAGATGTACGGGTGATTCGCATCGTACGCATCGGAACACAAGGGATTTGCGCGTAAAGCTCGCACAAATTTGTAAAAAACCTCAAATGGAAGAGTTGTAGAGTCTTGCCAATGGTCGTCTTTGTCATCTTCCTCGTCAGAGAGTGGACTCCTCACAGGACTTGATGCGCGTGGCACAGATAAAAAGAGATGCTTTGCAACTCGTTCAATGGTCTCACCCCGATGCACACCAAACGAGCTAATAAAGGCAATGAAGTTCTTCAACGTCATCTGGGTGGGGGCGACTAAACTCAGAATTTCCACTCGAGACCGAGCAATCTCTTCAAATGCTGCTTTTGATCTATGCTTCCCTCCGAACTTCCCTCCATCTTCTTGGCCCTTCTTCCGAACTATTCCAGAATTCATCATTGCCAGGCTGCTGCTCCGAAGCATGATCTGGTTCAAAGTTAAATCCTGCAATGTCAGCGGTCCTTCGGTTTCATCTTCCGTCTCTGCAGTCGCACTGCTTGTGGCGCTGCTATCAAAAATCGTATCAGTGAATTCCCCTCCGAATTCCCAAACACCAAGACCAGAAACCTTCTCGTTCAGTTTTGTCATGTACCGGCTTGTAACATCCCTCTTGCTACGAAAACGAGAAGCGCGTCTTTGAGGAGAGGAAGACTTCGAGTGAAGTTGAAGTGCTTCCATGGGAAGCCTCTGCAAATTCCAGAGGAAAGTGAAACTCTCCAGCCATTCAGAAAGCGCGTCATCATTCAGATTTTGAACTCTAAAACGGTGAGCAAGATCTAACTGACCAGCACCAGGACCTGCCAAGCCAGCTTCTTTCAGCAACGTTCGAGTCTTTTGAAGTTCATTGCGATCATCTTCAAAGTCATCGTCTTTACACTTTCTCCGAGGCACCCGGACAATCTCAGGCCGCTTCAAACTCGGTGCCGAGCAAGGTCGTTGCAAGGTTTTTGATCGTTTGGTACTTTTTGTGCTGATCCGAGAAGCTGTTCTAGAAGTGTTTATTTTCTCAGGGCCCAGAGTTGGTGCAGTCTCTTCGCGCCTTTCCGGCAAGGAAGGAAGAACAATTTCTTCAGGAGGATCTGAGTAATGCTGGAAAATCTGAAACCACTTATGAACCACCTCCATCGAATCTCCATATGACACAACCAAGTCGTGCAAAAGATCATCTGTGAGTTTCTGTCTTCTTTTCCGAATTTTTGAGCCTCCGTCAGATGAGTTAACAGCATGCAATAAAAAGGCGGTGCTTCCTGTGACACCTGCTTGCACCATTGTAGTGCTTCCACAGTGTGGACGTGCAAGCTTTGCTTTGCCTAAGTCCTGTCCAGTGTCGCAAGATGCCTTGACTTTCTCCTGAAAACGCTTTGATGCGCGCGCAGCCATCTTTTGCCCAAAGTCATATTCATAAGTGTCCAAGCCCAACACATAAGGAAATGTGTAAATAGCCCCTTTTGGAAGGACCGTGAGTGGAAGTCTGATGTTTTTGGCACCAACGGCACCAACGTTTCCATCTTGCTTCGTTGGTCGCTCTTGTCCATCTTTTGAAGCATCTCGAGTGCTCTTGCCGCTCTCTGGAAACGGTATCATTGCGACTCAAATGGTCAAATGACCAGATGCTGGACACCAACGGGACCCAGATTCCCCTAAGCACACATGCCGAACGGCTTCAATGTAAACTTGATGCACAAGGCCATGGAACTTCATGACTTTCAACATTTCAAGAATGTTCCAAGCACATGTTACGATGACTTGTTCCAAGCTTGTCATGCGTTCGTGTACTCGTTTTGTGTCTACGGCGCCATATTTGACGAGACAGCCATGCAATTCATGACACTTGGTCTGTTGTGATTCGAGCTACAAAGCTGCAAAGTGTATGCACTGCTCTGTCTTGCGACTCCATTGAAGCTGAGATTGGAGTCTGTCTAGCTTCAAAAGTGTGAAGTCACGTGAAGTCTGAATCAAAATAGTGCAGACATGTGAAACCATGTGAAATTAAAATTCACTGCCCACCTCCAAATCCACGATTGCATCCTCCCGTCCTGCACATCGCTATGTCTAGTGGCTTTGCAGCATATTCTTGCGTTCACAGCACCTCCCAGCACGAGGACTGGCTTTGTGCAAGTTGGCACTGGCAATGACCTGGCAAGGGATTAACTCGACCAACTCGACTATTACTAACTCGAGTAACTCGACTGCTTCAAAGGAAACAATATGCCCACTTTCCGGTAATCCTCTGGGTGTGTGGGATCTGGAGGCTGGAACTGGTGGGCCATTGTCCACCACCAAAAATCTCTGGGTAGAGAAGTACAGTCAAACACTCCAAACACTCCAAAGCTGAACATCTCCAGGTCATCTCCAGGTCATCTCCCTTCTGAAATCTCGCCACTGAAACCTGACTGAGATTCCTCAATAATTTCCAGAAACATATTTTTTTATTCTCTGTTTTTGGGATCCCATTGAAACATGTTCTCAAACCAAATCATGGAGTTTTTTGCCTCTTATTGCCGAAGTTTGCTCTCAGAATCTCATTTTTGGGGCCTACAAGATTTTGCAGTCCTTCAGGAGACTGAGAAAAAACTGCAGGGGCAGCAACAACAACAACAACAACCACCACCACAACAACAACAACAACCACAACAACCACCACCACAACAACAACAACAACCACAACAACAACCACAACAACAACAGCAGCAACAAAAACAACAACAAGTGCAGCAGCAGCAGCAGCAGCAGCAACAGCAACAGCAACAGCAACAGCAGCAACAGAGCAAGCGGGCGACATTCTGGGCAACAACACCAACCCTTGGAGCATCGCAGGTGTGCGAAGCCCTACAATTATGAAAGGTACAATCCCGGTATATTCCTGATAATCATGTTATATTAACGGCATGCCAAAAGTCTATTAAACTGTATATAAAAGCTATGTAATCAAGGCATATTCGATTTATGCTAAAGATGTGAAGAGAAGATATGAAGATGAATGATGATAAAGGATGGTGAAGGATAACGAATGGTGAATGAGGCTGTGGATGCATAATGGTCAGTTAATGAATGTCTAATGAGGGATTATGAAGTTCTTACATCGTATGTATATCTGTGTCCCCATGGCGTCTATTCAGATGACTGCGATGACGGAAGAGAGTTACACAGAAACTTATGCACAGAGAAGTCTTTGCGCAGAAGAAGTTTTACACACAGGCGTTTTTACACGGAGAAACGTTTTCACAGAGGAGTTTTTACACACAGAAACTTTTGCACAGAGAAGTCTTTACACAGAGGAGTTTTTACACACAACAGTTTTTACACATACAGAGGGGTTTCTAACTACAAAAAAAAATACACAGAGGAGTTTTTACACAAGGACGCCTTTAGACACGGATGTTTTTACAAAGAGGAGTTGGTACACGCAGACGTATTTACACACAGAAGTTGTTACACACAGAGGAATTTGCACACTTAAGTTTTTACACACAGAAGTTCTTACGCACAGACGCGTTTACACACAGAAGTTTGTACACAAAAGTTTTTACACGGATAAGTTCGCACTGAGGCGCTTTTACACAGAGAGGTTTTTGCAAACAGAAACTTTACACAGAGCCCATGTTTTCTTTCGAGGGGTTATGGTTGTCCGCTTTTGTGCTGACTGCGTGTTCCAGGCTCCCTTGACCATGCAAAGGTGCCATGCGGGCTTTGAGTTTCCATCGGCACCTTCTGTTTCGCCATCAGCCCGGCACTCAACTTTCTATTTTTGAAGGAAGTCCCGCAGAATTGCTTCGTTTTTGATCTTGTCAACTTGAAAAATTCAGGAAGTCTAGCAGAATAGCTTCGTTTTTCACGTTGTCGAGTTCAAAAATTGAAGAAGTCTCGCAGAATTGCTGCGCTTCTGATTCAAAAATGGAGGACGTCTCGCAGAATTGCTACGTTTTCAAGCTTGCAGATATATATAGACAGACAGACAGACAGACAGATAGATAGACAAACACAGACAGACAGACAGACAGACAGGTAGAAAGATTGATAGGTAGATAGATAGATAGATAGAAAGCAACAACTCGAAATACAAATGCAAATATACTACGCTACAGCACACTACTTGCACTACACTACACTTACTACACTGCACTACACTAATTACAGGACACTACACTAATTACACTACAACTACAACTACAACTACTGTTACTACTACAGCTACAGCTACAACTACAACTACAGTACACTACATTACACTACAATACACTAATTACATTACATTACATTACATTACATTACACTAGGCTACAACTACAACTACAACAGCTACAACTACAACTACAACTACGACTACAACTACGCTACTTTACACTACACAAAAGCACACAATACCACAGCACACTACACTACACCACACTACACCACATGACACTACACTCATTACACCACACCAGAGCTACAACCGCAACTACGCTACACTAATGACTCTACACTACAACTACAACTCCACTACACTACAACTACAACTACAACTGCACTAGACCAGACTACATCCAGCAGTTGTGGTGAGGTGACCACTGCAATCATTGCAACCACTCCAAAAAACACAACTCCAACCACCTTTCGGTCCATCAGTGGATTCGTTCTGGCATCTGATTCACAACAACCAACCTCTCCTATAGGTTTCCTATTTTTGGAACTTCCGCCACCGCCTTGTGCGGTACTACTGGTAACCACCACATCAAAATAAACTTTCGCTAAATCTTTCGCCAAAAAAAAAAACTTTCGCAGGGTCTCACGGTGTAACACCGGCGGCCTTCGTAATGGAAAATCCCTAAGTGTCACATGGACCTTTGGATCGACTCCGATATGTATACATATTTTCGTGTGTCTATAGGTCATACTGAGTCATACTGCTAGGTACACATCTGCGCCTTTGAAGCTGCCGCAAATCCAGCAACCGCGTGCCCTGCGGACAGCCTGCGACACACATTGGCGAAGACAAGGGGCAAGCAAGCAGCTTTAGGTGTCTTGGTTCAATTGACTGGTCGCTGCACCCCGGTCCCACCCCAGTCCTGTCTTCATAAGCTGCATGCATTCTTCAACATCTGCAAGGGGCGTCGCTTTGTCGAAGAAAATCTGGGCATGTTGGCAATCTCACGCTCACAAATGACAGCATCTGCGTGACTTCATCGGAGATGTCACCGCAACATAGCCTACTTCGCGCAGAAAAATCAATGTTGGTCCAAGCCTAATCCTGAATTCTGATAAACACCGTTGAAAGAGTGTCAAAGAAAGATTGCAAAACCAGCGTGGGTATGAGGTAAGGCTATCATCCGCGCACACGGATTTGGATCACATGTATATACCCACAGGCCATTTTTGGTGATCAGGTGCACAATTTGGATCACATGTACACACCAGGGACCGCTTTTACCAAATCTGGACCTCAGAACTAAATCACAGCCCAAAGTCTGGATCCCAGGTGCTTCTTTTGGAAATTTTGGACTCTCACATTTGGATCACATGGTGAGTTGGCATAGGTGGGGGGGGGATGGTATCGTACTTTCGCACGTGCACTGGATGGCGACGTTCACTCACACCCGGCAAGGGAGGATGGTGGGTTGGGGTGGGGCGGGGTGGGATGGTATAACATACTCTCGCGCACGCACTGGACAGTAAGGGAGGATGGGGTGAGGTGGTGGGGTGGGGTCGGATGGTAAACCCCATAGAACTAGATAGATAGATAGATAGATCGATCGATCGATCGATGGATGGATGGATGGATAGATGGGTAGATAGATTAGATAGATTAGATAGATTAGATAGATTAGATAGATTAGATAGATTAGATAGATTGGATAGATTAGATCGATTGGATCGATTAGATAGATTAGATCGATTAGATCGATTAGATCGATTAGATAGATTAGATAGATTAGATAGATTAGATAGATTAGATAGATTAGATAGATAAGATAGATTAGGTAGATTAGATAGATTAGATAGATTAGATAGATTAGATCGATTAGATCGATTAGAGATAGAGATTAGATAGATTAGATAGATTAGATAGATTAGATAGATTAGATAGATTAGATAGATTATAGATAGATAGTAGATAGATTAGATAGATTAGATAGATTAGATAGATTAGATAGATTAGATAGATTAGATAGATTAGATAGATTAGATAGATTAGATAGATTAGATAGATTAGATAGATAGATAGATAGATTAGATAGATTAGATAGATTAGATAGATTAGATAGATTAGATAGATTAGATAGATTAGATAGATTAGATAGATTAGATAGATTAGATAGAGATAGATAAGATAGATAAGATAGATAAGATAGATAAGATAGATAAGATAGATAAGATAGATAAGATAGATAGCTAGATTAGATAGATTAGATTAGCTAGATTAGATAGATAGATTAGGTAGATTAGGTAGATTAGGTAGATTAGTAGATTAGATAGATTAGATAGATAGATAGATAGATAGATAGATAGCTAGATTAGATAGATTAGATAGATTAGCTAGATTAGCTAGATTAGGTAGATTAGGTAGATTAGGTAGATTAGGTAGATTAGGTAGATTAGATAGATTAGATAGATTAGATAGATAGATAGATAGATAGATAGATATAGATAGATAGATATAGATAGATAGATATAGATAGATAGATATTCATAGATATTCATAGATATTCATAGATATTCATAGATATTCATAGATATTCATAGATATTCATAGATATTCATAGATATTCATAGATATTCATAGTATTCATATATTCATAGGTATTCATAGATATTCATAGATATTCATAGATATTCATAGATATTCATAGATATTCATAGATATTCATAGATATTCATAGATATTCATAGATATTCATAGATATTCATAGATATTCATAGATATTCATAGATATTCATAGATATTCATAGGTATTCATAGGTATTCATAGGTATTCATAGGTATTCATAGATATTCATAGATATTCATAGATATTCATAGATATTCATAGATATTCATAGATATTCATAGATATTCATAGATATTCATAGATATTCATAGATATTCATAGATATTCATAGATATTCATAGATATTCATAGGTATTCATAGGATATTCATAGGATATTCATAGGATATTCATAGATATTCATAGATATTCATAGATATTCATAGATATTCATAGATATTCATAGATATTCATAGATATTCATAGATATTCATAGATATTCATAGATATTCATAGATATTCATAGATATTCATAGATATTCATAGATATTCATAGATATTCATAGATATTCATAGATAGATAGATATTCATAGATAGATAGATATTCATAGATAGATAGATATTCATAGATATTAGATAGATAGATATTCATAGATAGATAGATATTCATAGATAGATAGATATTCATAGATAGATAGATATTCATAGATAGATAGATATTCATAGATAGATAGATATTCATAGATAGATAGATATTCATAGATAGATAGATATTCATAGTTAGATAGATATTCATAGATAGATAGATATTCATAGATAGATAGATATTCATAGATAGATGGATATTCATAGATAGATTAGATCGATTAGATCGATTAGATCGATTAGATTAGATCGATTAGATCGATTAGATCGATTAGATCGATTAGATCGATTAGATCGATTAGATCGATTAGATCGATTAGATCGATTAGATCGATTAGATCGATTAGATCGATTAGATCTATTAGATCGATTAGATCGATTAGATCGATTAGATAGATTAGATCGATTAGATAGGTTAGATAGATTAGATAGATTAGATAGATTAGATACATTAGATAGATTAGATAGCTTACATAGATTAGATAGATAGGATAGGATAGGATAGGATAGATAGGTAGATAGATAGGTAGATAGATAGGTAGATAGATAGATAGATAGGTAGATAGGTAGATAGATAGGTAGATAGATAGGTAGAGAGACAGGCAGACAGACGGACAGGCAGACAGATAGATAGATAGGTAGGTAGACAGATAGATAGACAGACAGACAGACAGATAGATAGATAGATAGATGGATGATAAAATGATAGATTGATAGCTTGATAGATAGATAAATAAATAGATTTTTGGATAGGTAGGTAGATAGATAGATAGATGGATAGAATGATAGATTGATAGATTGGTGGATTGATAGCTTGATAGCTTGATAGATAGATATATAAATAGATAGATTGTTAGATAGGTAGATAGATAGATTGTTAGATAGGTAGATAGACAGAGAGATAGACAGATAGAAACACAGATAGATAGATAATTAGATAGATAGATTGATTGATTGATTGATAGATACATAGACAGATAGACAGCTAGACAGACAGATAGACAGACAGATAGACAGACAGATAGACAGAGAGATTGATTGATTGACTGACTGACTGATTGATTGACTGATTGATTGATTGATTGATAGGTTGATAGATCGAAAGACTGATATATTGATATTTTGATAAGTTGATAGACAAATAGATGAATAGACAAACAAATATAAAGTTAATTACACAAATGAAATTTTAAAAATATAGATAGACAGACAAATAGATAGAAGAGTTAGCTAGATAGATAAACAGATTCAAATATTATGCATCCGGTGAAACCGCATGCACTCCAGAGGTCGACACACCCATGCTCTGCTGCCTGTGCAATTCAACAAACCAATGCTTCCTGTAGGTTTCCTGTCTTTCACACTTCGACAACGACTTGTGTGATAATTACTCTTTCTAAAGTTGAAATAAGTTGAAGCTATTGTAGTGAAGCACAATGAATTAGACTAAAGCAGTGGCAGCGCAGTGGAGCGCAGTGGAATGCAGTGGACTGAAGTGAAATGAAGTGAACGGACTTAAAATAGAAGCAGATGGAAATAGACTTGGAAAGGACTAGAATGTTTCGAGCGCGCCTCCTCCTGGACACACCTCAAGCAAGGCATGCCACGCTTTCCCCTATTGGCGTGTGCATACAATCCTTTTCCCAAGCAGTCCGACTGCGAAATTACGAACCTTAAAATAGAAGCAGATGGAAATAGACTTGGAAAGGACTAGAATGTTTCGAGCGCGCCTCCTCCTGGACACACCTCAAGCAAGGCATGCCACGCTTTCCCCTATTGGCGTGTGCATACAATCCTTTTCCCAAGAGTCTCCGCGTGCGCTTACGATCCAAATTTCGCGTGTACATATGATGACCTTACCATCAAATCTTTATGTATGCAATCCATCAGAAAAAACAGCAGTGAACATTGCATCACAATTTACGGAGAGATGAGAACTTACTTCCTCGAGAATTTGCAAAATGCAAGCCACATATGCTAAAGTACCAAACAACAGCTGGAGCTGCTCTAGGCGTCTAGGCCGCTAGGCTTATGCTATGATTGCACAAAAGGATTTACAGCATGGTTCTGGGTGCAAAATAGGTTGTTGGCCCCAAGAACAAGTTGATAGTAGCCTACAGCCCAGCAAGCTGTCTAGGCTCACAGCTGCATGAGGAATTGAGGGGACCATATAGCCACATAGGATTGGCCGGGCCAGAAAATGCTGATGGTCGCACAGAGCAGGCGTGGACTTTCACAGAGCCCGATTTTGTAAGGGTCCCAAGATTGGTGCCAATCTAATACAAACACAACTTGGTCTTGGCCACTGTAGCACTAAACCTTTGGCACCAACAGGCCGAGTTGGGAGTGTGGTCAGATGTTCCTAGTGGATGGAAATGTGTGGAACATGAAGAAATTGATCAGCCCTGTTGTAGACTTGTCCTAAGAGTCCCGCCTCCCGACAAAGATCAGCATCGCTTTCAAAAGAGCGACTTATAAAGCCCCAGGTGATTCGAAATGCTTGGAGAGGAGCTCGGAAAAGACTCCGCAGAATGATGCCAACATTTCCACTCGGGGGTACGCTGCAAAGGAGGATCAAACCAGCAAGGTTTTTCAAATCTGCAGCTGCCTGCAATGTAATGAGACCACCAAAGCTATGGCCAAGTAAAATGACTTTTTGTCCTTGTCCTTCCAAATGGGCGACAAACGAGGCAACATCAGCAGCATGTTCTTCCAAAGTACCAGCTACTGGCTTTTTTTCATTAATTTTGCCATTACCTTGCCCTCTTAAGGACAAGGCATAAGCGTTGAACCCTTTCTCGCGAAAGAAATCCAAGAAATAGCGGTCGTAGCACCATGCTGCATGATAACTGCCATGGATGCAGACAAGACTTACGTTGCAAGGTTTTCCGGCATGTGTCGCAGCACCCCCAAGAACTTCCAACTCAACCTCAGCAGCCTCAGCATTGTTAGGGACGAACAAATTCTGAGGTGGAATGGCATGAAGAAGGTTCCGCAATCTTCCCGTGAAACGGCTGGCAAACCTGTGGCCAACCATCGTTGCAATGGCTGTCATGGCCACGCCATCCAGTTTATTGAAAGCTTGAAATAGCGCCGGCCTCCTGGACACAACTTGAAATACCGAAATAGGTTTGGATCTACCAAGGGATGTCGGACAAGGCGGTGCCAAAGCCATGGTTCTCGGCTGTTTATTCTACTTGCAGACTGCGACAGCAAATGCCATGGTTTCCTCTTACCCTTGCTTCTAAGCAAATCCATATGTATACATCTTTATAGGTGGTATGCAACTACATTGACTCAGACATACAAATGCATGCATTGCAAGGTTCATGTGTGTATGTAATTATGTACAGTTCCTTGATCTAGATTTTTTGTATGGGTCTGGAGGCCTTTCTAGGTCTGAATTGCCCAAGCAGTAAATCAACTCACAGATTCCACTTCCAAGATTACATTGGCTTTGGGCCAAATGATTCTCGATGAACCAAGGCGCTTGCTTTCAACACAGGTTTGACAAAGTAACTTTCGAACCTATCTGGAAAACCCCTCCATCTGTTGTAAGCACTCGATGTAGAATATATAGTGCAAAAAAAACACCATTGTTAGACAAAGAATTTCCACAGTTAGAACAGGCACTGTCAGTGCTGCAACGATTACATGCACAGGTGAGACTGAAATTAAAAGCAATTCAATGTCAAACAGGCGAACCTCAAGCGAAACCTGGCAAACTTTAGCTGATTTTGATTGATTTTGATCTTTATTGCTCCAGTACCAAGAAAAGAAGAAAAAATCCGTTGAGCCTTGAGTTTTGACCCACACCCACAACCTCCATGTCAAACCCTCATCCTGCAAAAAAAATGCAAAAAAGGGAAAACTGGTAGGATCGTGATTAGCCTCGCCAACATGAAGGCCATGTACATCTCGACCCTGCGCACCTCTTGGAACGATCATGTTACAATTGCTGCTGTTTCAAGCCTTCCAAGCCCTCAAACAGTTTAAGATCATCCCTAGCACACACGCACACACATCTTGTTGCTTTTTCGGCTGCGAGATAACTTTCTCCTTCGAACTTGTTCTGTCTTTTGTCGGTTTCACTGTGGCTCCGAGGCTGAAGTCTGTGGCAGCAGTTGCCTGGCCAAGACCAGTGTAGGAAACCGGCTTCGGTGCTAAGCCATGCCCAAAGCAATGTTCTTGTTCTCCCTCCAAAACCCAAGAATTCGAAGTGCCCTCGAGTATGGTACCGGTGAGCCACATTTTTTTCGGCATTCTTGTGGAACACCAGTTTGCAAGCAGTGTAAGAGGGGGAAGAGCATGAAGTTGAAAGATTCTGATTCAAGTTTTTGTAAACATCTGCAGGGAAACTCAGAGACGCCTAGAGGCTGGAAATCTCCATTTCTGAGGCAGAGCATTTCTTGCAGCTGGTGACACCATGGAGAGAGACACACACAGAGACAGAGACAGACAGACACGGACACAGACGCGAGACAGAGACACGCACGCACAGGCACACACGCAGATGCACACACACACACGCGTGTGCGCACGCGAACGCGTACAGACGTTGGCACGCACGCACGGACGCACGGACGCACGGCTGCGCACGGCTCCGCACGGCTGCGCTTGGCTGCGCTTGGCTGCGCACGCACGCCTGCACGCTCGCCTGCACGCTCGCCCACCCGCACGCGGGCATGCACGCACACATGCGCACGTGTACGCACACACGAAACGACCACCAAGACAACTGGTACACATCAAAGCTGCAGTTCTTATTTCAGCCATAGAGTTTGATAACATTGTTTAATTCCATAAGTCTGTATGCTCCCATAAACTCATGAATGGGCGGAGTAGAAGAGAGGCAAATGGATGTAGATGATAAATGGATAGATTGATGTGTAGATTGGTTAATCCAAATACATTCTGTCAAACAAAGTCGTCAATGCAAGTTCAGCACATGACAACGCACATGATTGCACAAAATGATTCCAGTCGGGCCTCAATCGCCATGGCAATGCTCTCTGAAAGCGAAGAGACAAAGGCTGCTCTGCTTCGCCAATTCGTACAGCTGGAGACCTTGGCAGATCCGTCTTGAAAGCCAAAGATAAGGAGCGCATAGGGGCTATTTAGTCTCTGCGACATGTCTCTACTGTAGATATCTCTAGACATCAATATTTTGTCATGTTTTCATGTGTTTTTCTTTTCTTTCATATTCCTCCATAGGATTTGCAGCTTGCGACCTGAGTCCTGGGTCTCGTCGAAGCCAGGCACCTGCCCGATTCCGCCCATCATGAGAACTCGGAAGCCTGTACCATGGCCTGAGATGACAGATTGGCAACGACAGGAAACCCTGGCAATCCTCGCAACCACATCTACTAAAAAAAGAAAAACATCGAAAAACAAAATTTCGGGGCCCGGGGATATTCAGATTTCAATTCACTTTGATTCCGCCAAAAACACGACATTGCATGGTATCTCAGCTTGGAGCGACAACCATTCACTCTTCATGCACAACCTTGCGATTCTGCATGCTGTGCGCCCCAGTGAAAAAAAAAAGCACAATGGAAGAAATGTGCACACAACGTATCCCCCCGTCACATGATGTCACATGGACAGATCGGCATTGCCGAGACACAGGTCGAAAGCGAGAAAAGCGCGTCGCAGTTCCATTGGCATCCATTCTTTTCTCAGCACCTCTGATTCATGTCTCTACATCCTCTCTACATCATGCACTTCGACCTTCAAACATTGGGAAACTTGGGACCAAAATCACATATGTGGAACTTGCCTAGTTCCAGTTTCAACTACGGATTAATTTCCAGTCACGCTTCCAAAATTCTGATCATTTCTGATACAGGTTGCCACATTTTAACGACCAATCCTCAAGGCCATGCTTGCGAGCCTGCTGCACATCTCGCTTTCTCTTCCTCAAATACTGTTCAAACCCAATAAATCGTAGTCGAAAGTCCTGGCAAGGTCGTTTCTGGTGTCTGCCACAGAACTTAAAGTCCGCTCACCGTTGACAACTCTTGTGCCTGCTACTCGAACTCGATTTCTACTCCGTATAATATGTTGGTTTTGGTGCAAAGGTCATGACCGAGTGGGTGGCTGGTTCAGTCACAGGCATCAGCGTTGCGAAATGGTATCGGAATTCGAATCGTTCTGGGGTCAATACAGTATCACGTTTCAGAAAGAGCAGCTCTAGTCATGTTCAAGCCAGAATGAGAAAGATCAATTATAAAAAGAAATGTAGCAGGACAGACCAGCCAATACAGTACAAGGGCAGCTACTTTCACGACAAGCGGAGGAGGGACAGCGACGAGCACATGCCATACACCGGGGGCAGCAAGGGAAGGAATCAATCATAGAAATCGCAGCTCACGGCCACACCCACAGCACAGCGCAAGGCAGTCACCTGTCAAATGCAGAGATCAAAACAGCAGGCACTTTCAGAACTGCAACGCGGAAAGATCGAGCCTCCATCCCAGCCATTCAATTCTCAGATGAAACTTGCTTTTTCCTAACAACCTCCCCAGTACCATTTGATCCAATTTCCTCCGCAGCCCTTGGATTCGAAGTCACATTGCAAATCAGCAGAGGCAGTATAAGGCAAACGTTGCCCGGTGCTGGAGCATGCAACCCCTCGATCTCTAGTCCAAATGGAGGTGCGCACATAAAGCTTGCACACTTATTTGCAACCAGTGCGCAAGATGCACAACTCTAAATCAATTTGAATCTTCGGCCGTGTCCGACTATTTCAACTAGAGGAGCATCACGTTTTTGTTTGGCAAGGGAACACAAAAACTGGAGCACAGCGTTTTGAGCATGTTGCTTTGTGTGTGACTTTTTTTTGGCTTCGTAGTGTTACCCAACATCTTATTAACCTTCCTGGCACTTTCGTGGCTAGAAATTGCCAACTCGACTAGGCAAATTTTGCCAGCAAGTTGTTCAGGAATGCAAATAGCTTGTCAGCGTCTTGCCAGATTTTTTGAAACCACCATCATGCCATAGCACATGAAAATCATGAAACCGACCGGCGCCTCTAACAGTTGCTTTTGCAATTCAGTTGAATTTGTCGAATCCAACTCCGTGTTCAACGCTGGGATGGCACACGGCCTTGCGGAGCGTTTTCAGTCTCAAGCGAAAAACATACGATGCTGAGTTTTGCATAAAGGGAATAAGGGGCTTAAACTTGCGAGGAGCATTTCACCAAGAAACTTCAAATAAATGCAAATTTGCCCTCTTAGAATCACGAACAGTTGCCCTGTCACAGCTTGTCGTTCCACCCCAAACATACTTAGTAGACAGTCCATATTGGGAAAGCAGCGCAAAAAAAAGAAAGCAGCAACGGTTCACATGGCAGAAAAGTTCCACATGTAAAATTACTGGACGGTTCATTGGGTTCGGGGTTTCATTGGTTTCATACTATATTCAGAACAGCCAAAGGAACAACCCGTGAAAACGAATGATGGTGTTTTCCCCATGTAGAATCCTTGGGCCCGGGCCCGCAGACTATCCCATGTAAATTCATAAACTCTGCAGTTTAGTTCCATGAAGCTGTTGACTGCCATCAAGACCGCTCCTCGCGTCTTAACAGTTAATGATATCTTCTAAAGGTCACACTGGGCGGCATCACTGAGACTTGATAATACGCTTCTTTACATGTGCGTCTTCAAGTGTCTATTCAAGTATACTTGCCTGCCATTGATGCTTGGAAAACCAATGAAAAACTTCCTGTACGCAGCATTGATCTCTTTCCTGCAGCATGGCTCGAACCAATTGGTGGTCCCAAGGAAAACGGAGAGAAGCACAAACAACTCTGACAAGTAAAATTGTTTGCAACATTTACGAATGCGTCAAAATGTCAGGCCAAGATTCTGCTCATTTCTAGAATTACTGTAACCATTTTAGCACCAGGGTATTTAATTTTGACTCATACCCATACAGCAACTGAAGTCACACAGCGAAATGGTGGGCAGCATCATGCACCAGCCATTCAGCACGGCTATGCAAGGCGCCTGACTGGAAACAAAGTCTCCTGCTGTTCATGAATGATATCCTTGAGAGCCTTTTCCAAAGCCTTTGTCCTCCAGGGCTTCAGTGGCTTCAAAAAAGAATCTGCGGGCAACAGGCTTGCTGTCAGTGGCATGTTGAGAGCCGACGTTGAGAGTTGCTTGATGCTTTCAGATGGTTTATTATATATACATATAGTATAAAATACCTGACTGATGAGAGAGATTGGCAAACAATAAAGTATGAGTAAGGTATGAAGCAAGAGTACAAACTTCACTTTCTACAATTCTAAAGCAACGTCCTTGGGTAGTTTTGCACCACTTTTTTGCTGCCACCTGCTCACAATCAATTTGATTGGTTCTCAACCAGATGGACCGCTGGACCAGAATAACTTTAGCCATCTTTAGGCTCATTATTCTGGATTCTGGACCCAGTGCCAGAATCAGTTTCGGAAAATTGGTCACTGGTGGTCACCCGTGACCGTCACGTGACCCGCTGCCTTGCTGGAACGACTGTAGCGTCAGCTTCGAATCCAAGAGACCAACCTTGAAATTATTTTGAATCGGTGCACTCAGTGCGCATATCTTGGGTTTGTGATGTTTTGTTAATGTTTCGTGGGTCTTGTGCAGAAACTCCTCAGACACGGGCACTCACCCGCAGGCTTGATGGCCTTCAAAGTATCACAACACACCAATATCCAGTCTACGCAAGATCTTTTTGGATCGTCACCTGCTGCAAAATCAAGTCAAGCGACACGTAGAGGCAATGATAAAAGTCTTCCTAGCTGGTGTTGATTCTTTCTGTAAGCGATCCTTCTCTTTTTTGCTTGTCAGCCTGTCAAAGTTCTCGTGCTTGTCAATGGCAGCAGAAATCTTTCCAATGTCAAAGTCCTTGTGCCAGAAACACAATGGGTTTGGTGCCATGCTCAAGGACACACTCATGTATTTAAGGTAGAAAAGATCTAGCATGCCAAGACTAGAACAAAGCGGTCACACGGACTACAGTAAATTGTTGTTGAAAGTTGTGTTAGCAACAGGTTCTTACGATTCTTTCCGGCAGTTGCTTATTGTTTAATTAGAATTCCACCTGGTGGTTCCACTACTGTGCTGTTGGCCCCCCCTCTAATCCAAGGCACAACTTGTATGGAACTGGCAGAATCGGAAAAAAGAAACACATACTGTCACATACTGTACTAAACATGTCTTACCCATGTACTGAAATGGACATAACGTGACATACAGTACCGTGGCACTGAATCAGCAAGGCTTGGAAAATGCAAGAATTGGACCGCTACCAAAAAAATCGCAGTGCTGTTGGAAGTTCTATTGTTTTCTCCTCACTGCTGCCATGCATCAGACAAGCTTGGCACTTTGACACGTAGCTCACGTTCGATTTCATGCCTAGCAAGCAGGACATTTTTTGTACTGGGAATTTGAGGGGCTCTGAGCAAGAAGCTGAAACTGACCAGGCCGGTGTATACCGATCACTCCTGCGGGCATAGCTTTGCTTGATATCAAAGTCTCGCTTTTTGCCTGACCAAAGCTGTGGCTTCGAGACCATAAAAAGATATAAAAAGCACAAATACTGGGTTTCGAGGGATTTGCAACGAACATTTGACTGGTCTCTTTGTCACTCTCTATGCACTGGCCTCGCAATCTCATCCCTAGATCATAGACGTTCCAGATCAGCAGTGCCGGCATCATCAAAACCGCAACTGGCACGGGCAACTGTTGCGATCTGATTCACCTCAACTTCTGAGTCTGAATTCTAAACCCTGAGTTCAGATTCAAAGATGCAAATTGAAGAAGCTTCAAAACTGTACAGGCATTCCCAACTTCGGGCTGTCCATCTCACAAAGAGCAACAGCTTTCAAATTTATGACTCAGCTTTGCTGGTGGCCAGTGCGATTTGGTTTGCTAGCCTAGGACTCTGTTCAAGTGGATGCACTGGATCATAATGATAAAGCAATCAGACTTGGTCCAACGTGTGGTGTTCAGGGTAAAGCTTGTGTACAGCATTTCCCTGGAACTCGTTAAAACATGTTAAAACCACTCGCTTAGCTACTCTACTAAGGACACCTTGCCAGAGCAGGACAACTTTTGTAGCTCCATGAATTCAAGAAATGTTCAAAGCAATCTCTTTGAGAGGTTATTCAGATGGAGTCACATGCCAGTCGTACCTCCCTTGACAAGGCGACAGCAGCTTCTTTGTCGGATTTCCGTCCCTGTCAAAGCAAGTTCTTCGACTCTGAAACAAGCAACAGCACGTAAAACATGAATCACCTTATCAATCTCTCCACATGAACCTGTTCGATATTTATGACAAATAGACCACGCCTTCCCGAACAGGTCTTTGTGCTGTCGCGTCTCGGGTGAAAGGGAGGACAGGAAGCACCAAAAGAATGCATTTCAACCATCTTCAACCATCCAGAGCTGTGGGCTTCAATTCAATACATTTCAAAGAATGCAAGATGACACAAATTGATTCTACACAAGAATCGCGAGGCGCGTCCAAAGCCCAACTTTGACTCAATGATGCAATCAAATTCAATAAATTCACTCACCATCAAGAATCTCCAGCAGTTCTGGTTCCAGCTCGAAAAAATCAACACGCTTTGAATCGATTTGATTCAATTTGAATGAGTCCAAGAATGATTTTGAATGATGACCGACATTGCTTTTACTCAAGATGTACTCTATGTTATGTTCCTTGTTGTACTGTAAATGTGATATCATCAGTGATATCGCAAATGATTTATCATCCATATTTCTTTGTATGATATCAAAAATTAAACCTTGTACAAGATCACAAAACATTTGTCAAGTCGCCAAGCGAATTCTTCTGGCCACCTGATGTCAGCTTCGAGCACCCATCCAATCTACACCAAGAGAAAGGTGAATGACTTGCAACACAACATGAAGACTTCAATGAAGACTTCAATGAAGACTTCAATGAAGACTTCAATGAAGACACCAAACATCACCAAACTCTAGTGACTGCAGTGACTCTAATACACCTTGAAAAGGACGCTCGAAGGCTGCTGAATTCGTTGCAGGCGTTGGCAGGTACAGATCAGGAGCATCTTCCTTCGCAGGCACCGAGACTGTGAATTGCTGCAAAACCTTGCTTCAAAGTCTTTCATCAATACGGCAAAGTGGGCAAAGTGGGCAGGAATTTGCAAAAGGCTTTGCGGGTCCTTGAGTAAAGCTGCTGCAGCTGCGTTCCCAGCCATGTTCAAATGATGGCAGTTTTGGTTTCAAAAAAGAAGAAAACTCCTTCGTCGAACTGGTACAAGCAGAAAATGACACGGATGTTAAGACTGTTAAGCCCGTTAAGCACCATGAAGCACCTGACAGTGTCATTCTTGACATTCAGAGTTCAGGTGCTCAGGCATTCGAAGAGATCCGTGCAGCATGCAACTTGACTGAAGCAGTAAAAGCAAAGTGACATCTTCGCAACAAGATGCAACAAGTAGCTTGTGTGCTGAAACATGCTGAAACTCTTAAAACAAATGCAAAGCAATGAATTGCATGAACTGTGTTTTTTTTCTGCTCGCAAATATCACAATGCACAGCGCTGCTAAAATCAATGCCCTTTGGACAGTCTCTGCAAGAGAAGCTCCACAGCGGGAAGGCAAAGCCCGAATTCACGTAAGAAGGGTCCGAGAGGGACCTAGTCCCGCTAGTGCCTAGCGTCAAACCAAAAAAAATGGGCCACGGGAGCCAAGGGAGCCAAGGTGGCCAAGGTGGCCTCAGCTCAAAGGGATCAACAAGGGTGTTCGCAGTCAAAGCCACAGGCCGCAACCGTATTTATGTCGAGTGTTCTTCAAAATTCGAAACTATGTCGAAACATCCTTGAACCTCTTGAACTGTTCAGAATCCTGTGCCTTTGCTCAGCGGCCTAACTCGGGTAAGACATCTCCATCCCAGGTCCGGCGATGTGTGAAGTTACCTCTGAACAACTGCTCAAGCAAAATGTGCAACAAAATGTGCAAACCTGTCACAATTCTGCACCTTTTGACATATCTTCAAGACTTCGAGCTGGCTTTTGCTATACTCTCACGTAGCTTTCCAAATGACAAGCTGCAGCGACAGGGTGGGGGGGAAATAACGTTCACGTCCACCTCCATTCGGACCTGACAGTTCTGATTTCAACTTGCAACTTCAAGCAGGCACAAGCAAGCTGCAAACTTCTGCAAGCAAAGTGCAACCACACGCAAATGCACACAACAATCCAATATCCTGCCAGGTGCTACTTGGCGTGGGTTCCAAATCCAAAGACCAAAATACAACCAAAACAACCAGAAAGCACCAATGGAGAGAGACTGCCCGCTTCAAATGCAAACATCTTGTCTAAAGGTTTTAAATCTATTTAGGGTTATATAGTTTAGGGTTCATTTAGGGTTGGTTTTAGAGTTTACTCAGGCTTGGCTTAAGATCTATTTAGGGTTGGTTTACGATTAGGGTTGGTTTTAGGGTGTATTTAGGTTTGGTTCAAAATCTATTTAGGATCAGTTTAGGGTGCATTTAGGTTTGGTTTTAGAGTTTACTTAGGCTTGGTTTAAGATCTATTTAGGCTTGGTTTAGGATTAGGGTTGGTATTAGGGCGTATTTACGGTTGGTTTTAAATCTATGTAGGGTTACAATAGGGTTCATTTAGGGTTGATTTTAGTTTACTCGGGTTTGGTTTAAGATCTATTTAGGGTTGGTTTACGATTAGGGTTGGTTTTAGGGTGTATGTAGGTTTGGTTCAAAATCTATTTAGGATCAGTTTAGGGTGCATTTAGGGTTGGTTTTAGAGTTTACTTAGGCTTGGTTTAAGATCTATTTAGGCTTGGTTTAGGATTAGGGTTGGTTTTAGGGTGTATTTAGGTTTGGTTCAAAATCTATTTAGGATCAGTTTAGGGTGCATTTAGGTTTGGTTTTAGAGTTTACTTAGGCTTGGTTTAAGATCTATTTAGGCTTGGTTTAGGATTAGGGTTGGTTTTAGGGCGTATTTACGCTTGGGGTTAAATCTATTTAGGGTTAGTTTAGGGTTCATTTAGGGTTGGTTTTAGTTTACTCGGGTTTGGTTTAAGATCTATCTAGGGTTGGTTTACGATTAGGGTTGGTTTTAGGGTGTATTTAGGTTTGGTTCAAAATCTATTTAGGGTCAGTTTAGGGTGCATTTAGGGTTGGTTTTAGAGTTTACTTAGGCTTGGTTTAAGATCTATTTTGGGTTCGTTTAGGATCCATTTAAAATTGGTGTGGGGGTTATTTGGGGTTTGGTTTAGGTTTTATCTGTTTTAAGATCTATGTAGGGTTGATTTAGGGTCCATTTAGGGTTGGTTTTGGGGTTTACTTAGGTTTGGTTTAAGGTTTGTTTAGGGTTGGGTTAGGATCTATTGCCTTTTTTAAGATCTATTTAGGGTCGGTGTGCGGTTGATTTAGGCTTGGTTTAACATAATATATTTGGGGTTGGTTTAGGATCTATTGAGGGCTGGTTTTAGGATCTATTTAGACTTGGTTTAGGATCTATCTAGAGTTGGTTTAGGACCTATTTAGGGTTACTTTAAGGTTTGTTTAGGGATGGTTTAGGATCTATTTATGTAGGTCTTGTTTAAGACCCATTTGGGGTTGGTGTGAGGTTTATTTAGGCTTGGTTTAACATATATTTGGGGTTGGTTTAGGATCTATTTGGGGTGGGTTTAAGGTTTATTTTGGATTAGTTTCAGATTTACTTAGGGAATGTTGAGGGTTTATTTATATAGAGTTGCTTTAGTATTGTTTTGTTTGTTTGGGGTTTTATTTAGTGTTGATTTAGTGCTGATTTCGGGTTTATGTGTTATATGATGCTTCTTAGGGTTTGTTTACAGTACGCATGAGAAACTAGAGAAAAGAACGGAAAAGCAGAGAAGCAGGTAAGCAGAAAAGCAGGGAAAAGCAGAAAGCAGAGAAGCAAAGAAACAGAAAAGCAGAAAAGCAGGGAAATGCAGAAAAGCAGGGAAAAGCAGAAAAAAGGAGAAGCAGAGAAGCAAAGAAGCAGAAAAGCAGAGAAGCAGGCCAGCAGGGAAAAGCGGAGAAGCAAAGAAGCATGGGAAAAGCTGAAAAGCAGAGAAGCACCAGAAATCCAAAATAAAATCACAAAACGGGAAAACAAAATCCCCCCAAAAAAATAACCCTCCCTTTCAAAATCTTCAAACATGTGTATTTGATTGTATTTGTAGTTTGAAGAACCTGGATTGCATGCACAGTTATCTTATTTCCTTCAAGAATCCCCTTTTATGCACTAGAATCCACTAAATCCACTATGACTTTGGATTTGTCTTTATCAACTGCTCACAATATTACGTCTCTCGCCCATCACCGAACTCTTTGATCCTCAAAACGGAAGACCTTCAGTGTATCCATTTGTTGTTTCCCACCTCCATGCAGAGAACGAGGATATGTCATCAAGATATTACGCCAAAGCAGTTGCCATCTCCCGTGAACCACATTTAGTGTTAGCAGCAAGATATGCTGGTTTGCAGTGTGTGTGTGTGTGTGCGTGCGTGTGTGGAAGATTGACTATGGACAGTGTTGCTTAGAACCTCCTATCTTGGTGGTTGCTGATTTAACGCTGGTGTTGTTGTTAGGTTTCTGAATCACTATGGCAATGGCCTCTAGTTTTTTGATACATTGCTTGTCTACGCTCGTGTGAAACAGCTTTCCAAAGCAAATCTATGTAGGTTTTAGTGCAGGAAGCTACGCAGGCACTCCATGCAGGCACATCAACACTCTACGAACCACAATGATTCACAAAAAAATTAAATTAAAAAAAACGAATAAAACACTGTCACGCAAATTTGTCAACACAATTTGAAACCATCGCCCCTTTTTCACAACGCGCTGCTTCAGCTGTGACCCCAGATTCAATTCTGGAGCATCACCAAAAACTGACCAAACGTGAAAGCAAGGAAACTGACAAACCACACGCTGACAAAATCGATCCCTGCACTGCAATGAAGGCGGCCCACTTCTTTGGGTTTTGTCCCAAAGTTTTCATGAAGCTGTACTGCCAGTAGCCAGTGATGGAATAGTTTAGATGGGTCAAACACACAAATAAAAATGCATAAAGTACATTGACTCGAATGATGCCATAGGCGGATGGCATGGCAAAAGGCACAGTAGCCCTCTGTTTCGCCAACACATCAAGCACAACCACCAACATAGGGAGAGCGTGCCGCATACTGTCAATAAATCCAAAGCGAATTCCTCGTTGTGCCCACAGCCGACAAATCTGTTTATGTTCTGACTGCGGGTAAACCAGATTGAAATATTGGACCGTCACAAAAATTCCATTTGCTCCGACAATTGGTGTTGCTGCATAAGTGCCACTTGCTAAGCGTCTGCTCCAATATGGGGAGAACACGGACACAATTGAATGAATTGCCAAAATTCCAATCGTCTGGTGGGTCAAATATACCCAACGACCGAAAGGGCCATAGGTGACATAAAAATCATCTTCTGCATCTTTCGTGCCACGCGGCAAGATGTAAAATTCCACATAGAAATTGTACAGAGCAATGATGGTTCCAAAGGCCTGGCATATCACACACGGAACTTGTGGAACTTGTGGAATTTCTTGTGGGACCTCTGTCCCGCATCTCCATGAAATCCAAACATAAAAACTGAACATCACGCACATTCCGTAAACATCCACTCTCTTGGTGTGGCCATGTTGTTTTCTCTCATCATCGTCGAATTTGCCAGGGAGATGCGTCACCAACTGGCGCAACAACGTTGTTTGAAGCACCGGGTCTCTAGACATGTTTGGTGGCAAGATGTGGCAAGGACAAACATCAAATTTACAGCAGGTTTTGTTGTTTCCATCCATCAAATCTGTTGTTTTCGTACAAATTTATGGTTTCCATTTCCCAACCTTTCGGAAAAACTGTTCTAAAAATACCTGGTGTTGAACGACACTTGAAAACAATATGTGTAACCGAAACGGAAAATTGAATCTGCGTTTCGACAAGTCTCATGAGTCCAATGTGGATGTTGTTTAGGTGTTTCCGGACCAAATTGCCTGCGAATTTGCGAAATTTGCCGTGTCCCAACAAAACCGCAACTTCGCAGGTCACAATTTATGTGAACAAAAATTGTTCATCACCGGACCATACCCATAGATTACCAGGCGGCAACCCTCCAAATAGTTTATATATATATATATATATATTAGTGTCTGGTAGTTGAACATGTAAATTGTCGACATCGAGAATCGGGATGCATTTTTTTTTCCAATCCAAACCTTCCCTCAAACTCGTAAGCGAGCAACAAGTACATGTACAAAGTGACAGCAACACCCAAAAACTGCAGGAAAATGCAACATGTCCACAAAACACACCCATTAGGGGCCTTTGCTGCAACTACAACGGCTCCCAGTTTGACCGCTGCGAACATGTTTTGTTCCATTTTTGCAGAAATCGTGGGCCTAGGCAAATACGTTCAACCATTTGAAACAATGGACTGCGATGAAGGCGGGTATCTTTAACTGAGGCGTTTCAAAAGAGAGCAGGTATGCATGAGGGGTGGAATTGTGAAAGGGTCTGATTTTACAATTTTTTTGCATCATTATGCTTAAGGTGGTGTGGTTCTGAGATGGTCATGCTACATTTCAAATAAGACATTTCAAAACATAATGTAGTTTTACAAGAAATTTGTTTTCATAAATGATTTTGACACTGTGTTTGGAAAGTTAACAACACACTACCGACCAAAATATCGCATTTTATGCAGAGATGTTGTCTCTTTCAAGGAATGTTTTTTTGTTTCGAATTTTCAAAATCTAACAAATTGGATTGACATATACTTTTGAAAATCTAACAATGGCCTCCCCATTGGATTTCGCCACGGGGCATTGGTGTGCGTAGCGGCAGCTCTGCCCGGACTTGCACTTCCCAAGATGGAAGCGAATACAGATGCCCTTGCCAATGTTGAGCTTTTTGAGCCAAGCGTCATTCCACTTCGGGTTCTTACCTGCAGGTGAGGTAGGTTTGCCTTAACCTGGGGTCTTGGGCTCTGGCTTCGGTTTCTTGGGAATGGGTTTTGAAGGTCCGGCTTGCGTTTGGGCTGGTCAGGACGAGGCCCTTGCAGAGGCTTAGGGCGCGGGTTCACAGTTCAGTTTCCGTTGCTTCAACTTACATATGTTAAACACATGAAAGTGCAGGGGCTCCCTATTTTTCAGCGTGGTGCAAAATGATCACAAAGGGGGCTGTACACCTATCAAATACCAGCGGGTTGAAACACGTACAAACCACCGGATCAATTTGTAACCCCCCAACACAAAATGACAACACAGATGTACATACCCAAAAGCGGGGTAGCAAACTGGTTGAAACAGGTGGGGAGTTTGAACAGGCACCAAACTAAAATCGAAAATCGACCAGCCGGAGTCGAAAACTCCCCAAAATAAATCGATTGAAGGAACCCACAGTCAGCGGACTGCCGCAGCGCTTTTTTGACATCAATGCCAAATTTGGACGGCCACTTTCGACCAGTCTGAGCAATACAGACTGGAGAGGACGCAAGGAGCTCCTGCCACCGCACTAAGCAGTGATTGCTCACTGTCAGTGGTTCTGGAAGGGGCTGCTTGAATCGACTCAACGAGTCCGCAATAGTGTTCAAGTGACCAGGAACGTGAGTCATCTTGGGAAACACATGATAGCGCCTCATGAACTTGAAATATGGAGCTAGAACCGCAGATACCGCAGGTGTCATGGATAGTCCTTTCGCAGATGCTGCATCAGCTGCACTGTTGTCTGTTCCTTGTTGGCAGGCAACAGGGCCCCTACCACGAGGAAGCGCGGATTCAATGCAGACTGTAAGCGCAAACTGTGCCAAGAGCTCCCATGCTGCAATATGTTTCTGCATGTCCATGCCCACCCAGTGCCACTGCTCTTGTGCCTCGACGAGCGTGATTTGGAATTGGAACCAAACACATGCACCGTTTGGAAAAAATGCAGCTCCTCCAAAGCCAGCCATAGATTTAGATGCCATTGCGTCCGCAGTGGCTGTGACGTTCAAGAAGGCTGCTGGCGACATGGACAGCGAAAAAGGGGTGGATACGAGGATTTTCTCCCATAGGCACAGGGCTTCCCTAGCCTCATCATCCAATGTACGAGTTGGCGATGTAGGGTCCTGTATACCAACCCAAATGCGACGTGATTTGATGTGTATCTTGACAGCATCGTCCAAGGTGTGCACATTCGTGTTGGCCACCCGCACTAACTTGACTTGCTGACACAGGGATTGATGTCTGTGAGTGAAGTCAGTTGTGAGCGTAAGTTGTGGCGACAACGCATCCAGAAACTGTTGAAATGTGACATGATCCATACCCACCATGGTCGTGGGGATATGATGTAGAACCTTATACAGCGGGATAAAGCAAAGGCCTGAGGAAATGCCATCCAGATGTGAGCCAAAGCAAGCGGCCGACAATGGATTGCATGTCTTTGAGTGGCACTTTGGTGCAATCAATGATCTTGTGCAGCTGTTGCACAATCCGTGACAGTTTCTCTTCTGGGATTGATATGGACCATGTCAGCACGGAAATACGCCAACCAATCCAGTCAACTTCAACGTCCAGCGCCGCCTTGTGCCACGACATTGGGATCCCCAAGATGAGAAACAGCACAACTAAGAGTGATGCCCACAAAGGAGATGAGATACGGTCAAGCCAGGCCAACAAGTCATCAACGTATTGCCACAATGCATGGCCATGGGCAAGGAGTGCATGGGCAAGGATCATCAATCCAGCAACTCTGCCCCAATACCAACCACTGGCTCTTGCACCAAAGTTCAGTGTGATACAACGGTACAGTTTACCGTTGGCATGGAAGCACAACATTCCACCATCCTTCGGGTCGATGAGAATGCGGCGATGCGCTTTGGAGACATCCAGGGTGAGTTGGATCATCTGCTGTCTTGACATGGTATCAGGTGCACACTCCATAACGTCGGAGATGCGAGGGAGAGTCATATGGTTGGGAATGACGGTATTGGACGTCACGTTGCTGATGGAGCTGTCGACAACCAGCCGGGGTGATCGCCCTTCAGCAATGACCACTCCCAGCTTCCCAACCGCAGTCCGTTGAAACTGTTTCTGCAACTCTGGTACACCTCCCGGAACCAATGAAGCCTGCTGCCAGTTCTTCTTGAATAAGGTCCTCAACAATGGCAGGGTGGTCAGCCGCACTCTTCCATGAGTCATGCCACACCAGTAATGGTTCTGGGTCAGAGACCACCCCATCGTAAACATGCCATGCCGGGGACGGTTTCAGTGGTTCGTTGACCCCCAATGGCACACCATTCACCAGGTCCAAGAGAAAGTCAGCATCAGGGTCTGACAAAAACTGCGCCAAAGTGTGCCATAGGTACAGCCTGAAGGGTTGGCCAGCAGGGATCTGAAGGAGGTGATCTCCTGGTGGGCAATCAAGCACGTCCAACATGTCATCAATGTATGGTTGCAGGTCCGCATCTGAAAGGGGTGGATGTTTGCAACCTGATGTGAGGGCGGCTGTGATCTTAAAGCAGTGCTTGGTGTCGCTCAAACGTCTGAACCAACGCGATCGCAGTGCTGCCAGCTTGTCATGAGATGGTCTCAGCATGTGAGAGGCCGTGCTGGTGAGGCCTCCTCCATCTTCAATTCTCGTTGACAGGTGTGGCCACTTGAGTGATTGAGGGAGCGCTGCTTGCCAATTGTCAAGGGGCAAGACAATGGAGCTCTTCGTGACATATGGGGCGATAATTGACGCCAATGCGTGAGCCAAATCTGGCGGATATTCAGCTGTGATGCGGCCGAGAAACGACCCATCTACCATGCGTACACCTGCAATCTGTTGGTGCACATTCGCGCCATGAGGGCAAGATTTTGCAACTGCAAAAATGTCAGGTCTGTTGGCAACAAACATCCAAGCTTTCGCCCAGTCTTTACCAAACTGACAAGCGGAGGCTTGGGCAGCAAACGGGGCCACAGTATGGACCCACTGAACCATAACAGGGTCATCCCATGTCATGGACGTGGCTGGGTTTTCCAAAATGGCCAGCCCCCCCTTTTTGTCAACCTCTGACAACAAAATGCGGGATCGGTCATGGATGGCCGCACTTTCCTCAACTGCCAATTGTTGCAATGGAGAGTTGGATGGAAGGCCATCAATGTGTTCAGGTGTTCTGACTAGGGCCGGGCCAGGAGGACGTAAAGTTGCCCGGCTGTGTTTGCTGCAATAAGGAGCAGCTAAAGCTGCCCCAATCAAGCCTGAAGCTGCCAAAAGGAGCACTGATTCAAAAATGACGTCATCCAGCAAGTCATGGCCATGAATTAAATCCACTGGCTGGACACGATCACATGCAAATGGGACGAGGGCCATGCTCACAGGCATAGTGGCCCCAGCAAAAATGTCAAGGAAAAATCTGGGAGCTGAACACGATGAAATCTGTTCGAAAATTCCAGAATTCTGAGAAAGGCCACTGGAGACTTCTACCTTCGATGCTGTATGAACAGGAACGGGTGGCTCCGGTAGCACTGCCAGGTCCTGCAACTGTTGTGGAGGAACTGAATTATCCCTTTCCTGCTGCAATGGTCAGTGTGGCGCCGACTTGTGTCGAGCCGCTGTACGGAAGCCTCCACACGGTTCGCCATTGGCCTTTGGGACGGGACATTGGTGGGCAAACCGACAGGTCTTACCTGACTTGCACTTGTTCATGTTGAAGCGCATGCAGATTCCCTTTCCATCAGGCAATTTGCGGAGCCATGAGTTGTCCCATTTCAAGTCCTTGGTGTCATTCTTCGGCTGTTTGGGTGAGTCATTGCCAGGACTCACTGTTTTGGGCTTCTTGGGAAGAGGCTTCGGAAGATCAGGTCTTCTTTTGGGTGGATCCTGTTTTGGTTGCTGAACAGGACGAGGACGAGGTGCCAACGAGGTATGGAAAACCTGTCTGCAGAAGGCCACTTCATTGAGGACATCATTGAGCGTCCATTTCGACTCATACAGCAAGTCAGTGACTGCCGACCATGCAACCCGATCAGCATCCAGAATCTCAGACAAGGATGGGGCACGTAGGTGCTGATCACGGGGTTTCGCCAATGCCAGTTCAAGAAACTTCGCATGGAAACGCTTGACCACCAAGAGGTGCGCAGACCCTAACATGGCCAGGGCCACCGACAACAGGTTTTGGAACTTGGCCAATACCACTTCTGTAGGGGCCTGGTGATTAATGACAGCCTCTGGTTGTTCATTGAGAACAGAATCACCTTCAGTCAACAGTGAACGAAGAAGCTGGCGATCATTGCGAGGCCTGCGGTGTTCGGCAAATGCTTGTTCATCTGCTTCTGATGTCCTGCTTTTCCATGGAATCCAGGTAAAATTGTTGGTGTCAATGGCATCTTTGAGAATGCACAAAAATGACAGAGATGGCATAGTCGCGGGCAGCAACAACTCACCTGGGTAATTCTGGCAAAACTCCGTCTTGAGTGCTTTGACATCAGCCACAGACAAGCGTGTCTTTGTGGTAGGTGCCACTGGGGCTTCAATTGGAGCGTCACGACCTGAAAGTACACATTTCGCAATGCACTCTTTGAGGACCCTTCTAATCGCTGCTGATTGCGGGGAGAACGTTTGGAAAGTCTCACCCTCAGGGATCAAACTCAAGTGTTCAACGAACTCCTCCATCTTGGATTCATCATGAATGCCGTGGGCCAGGAGTGCAATCGTCGTGTAGCCAGCATTGAAGATGTGTTCGATCTGTATCGATGGCATATGGCAGTCAGCCATCAGCGATCTAAAAGATACTGGGTCATCTAATGCCATAGATTGAGAAGCCATGGCTGCACACCCCACCGACATGTGGGCGACAGAAAAGAGCGAACTGGGAAGATGCAATGTCAAATGAGATAGTACAAAAATAAATGAAAACAGGAAGTGGAATCAACCGTGGCTGTGGAACGTGACAACATGACTGAAAAATAAAGAAAGATCCAGCGTGGACCTAGAGCCAGATTCAACAACCAGTGAACATGTAAAAATGGAGCCACGCGTGGCTGAGCCCATGTCACAAAGAGGGACTGACAAGCAAGTCAATGTACCGTATGACAGCGGGCAGCTTGGACATGTGTGGCCAGTCGTGGCAAGCCACATGCCAAATAAAGCGAAATGAGACAATCAATGGACATGAATCGGCACCAATGCACGGACTTTTCCCAAGGCAGGTGATGGAGTCATGGTGCAACAGTCACTCTTGCGGAGCAGGCTGACCAAAATTTGGCAGCTCATCCATCAATTGGTCTGTGGCTCGACCTCCAGCTCCGAGACGCGCTGCCGTAATCAAATCGAACAGCATCGATCGGAGGTGCCTAAACACCAGGTGGTCTTCTGGGGTCAAAAGTGGTGAGCGGGATTGGCCCCACTCAGTGACCACTGAAAGAGCCCCTGAGAGCTGGAAGACCAAAAGATGCGCCTGCTCAACTGGCAGAGATAAAGTGAAGGTCACAACCGAGCAGGGATGCGTCCTGTCGGTGATCCATCCGGATGGAGCCAAATCAGATTGGGCTTCCTCCTGGGTGATCAGCACTTTGGCGGCCAGGGAGCAGAGGACCGAAATGAGCGTCCAGTGGAACCTGGATGCTAAGTGCCGTGCAACTGCAGCACATCCTGCCAGGCAAATCTCAAGGTGCGCCCGTCGATGCTCATCAGATGCCCAATCCCTGACGAAGGGAAGCGCTGAGTCGACCATAGCCTCTAACTTGGCAAAGTCAGTCATTGTGATGAGCTGGCACCTTGAAGCAAAAATGGCTAACGGGATCAATGGCACTGCAAGTGAACCAGGCACAGTTGAGCAGAAAAGTGTACTGAAAATTGAAATGGGCAATGCCACCGACAAATGCTAGGACACCAGACAAAAAATTTTGGTACCTAAACGGTCACAAGTGCTCACAGCGGGAGGCACATAAACATGTGACTGCATTGGTTTGGGCACACCATTTTACAGATTCAGTCGAAAATCTTGGAGCAGGCAGGTCTCATACACAGCCTAAATTTGGCTGGGAATGTTTCAGCTGGAACAATCTCAGCATCCCAGGCCGCGCGACGGACATTGCACGCAAACTTGAAAGATTTTCGCACTTCACCAGCATCCACTGTCACCACCCGGTAAGGATCAGATTCATCACATACGGCGGCCACGTGGGCGATGGTTGATGCTGTATTCAAAAGGAAGAGGCAGTCAGCCGACGCAGCTTGAATCACTGGAACCTCCATCTCATCCTGAACATCAGGAGCCAATCCAGTTTCAGACTCGCCAGAATCAGTATCCGCCAAATCATCAGAGTGGGGGAGGCACAATTGTGTCTGAGCCAGTGGTGTGGCATCCTCTGTAGGGGGAGCTACTGATACTGGTTTGTCCAGGACTGGTTTTGCTCCACCGCGTAGGAGGGGAATCACTGGTCGAAAACCTGACGCAATGCGCTGGATGATCTGGTGCTGTAGCTGTACTGCCGGGTGAACATCGTCGCGACCATACAAGGCAACGTTGGATCGAGCACCTGATTGACGATGATGTCCCTGTGCCATTCTGGCTTCTTCCGATGCTCCAATTTGACGTGCCCAACTAAGCAATGTAACTTTGGGTGAATGCACACCAATGCTGAGGACAGAGGCATCCTTGTTGGCTTCAAGAAGGAGACGTCGCAGCAAAAGAACTCCATGGGCCCTAGGCATGGGTGCAGTGAACATAGGATGGTCCACACTAGGACCACACATTGGAATCAAAAAGTCCGGAGTGAAATCAGGAAAAATCTCCGATGTGCGCTGCAGTGCTTGTCGCACCAAGTTGAGCCACTTCGTGGACCATGTGACTTGCGCAGATGTTGCCAAGAGCCCTGACTTGACGAACGCGAAGGGCATTCCGCGCGAGGTCGTTTTCGTTCTTGCTGCAATACCTCTGATGACATCAACGTCCTCTGTCAATGCGCTTGGGGTGACCCAAAGTGCGTCACTCCACCTCAGAGATGACCAGATCAGAACAAGCAGTGAGCCCATCAGCAACCTGTCTGCAGCTGTTCCCAGTTCCTTGAGTATACAAGACTCAAGATACACCACAAAGCTCAACGGCAATGGGGCAGCTTCTTTCCTGACTGATATCTCAGAGGGGATGGTGTAGGCACGTGTGATTGGTGCCTGTATAGCACTCAAAAGTGCCTGGAAGCCAGCATACTTCGCAACCCACGTTAACGCTCGAGATTGGGCAGTGGCAACTCCAAGTGAGCTCCTCTTCGAAGAAACTTGAAGGAAGTCTGCGAGGAATACCGTAGGTGGGCTGTAAGGGCATACCTGATGGCAGTGACAAAACTCAACCCACAGTGACCAGCTCTTGAGATAGGCCGCCAATGTCGATGGCGCAAATATCGCAACAATTTTGATCAGATGAGCTTCTTGGTTAGGGCTATCTTGGGTGGACTTGATCAGCTCACTGTAAGAGCCCGCCTGTTTGAGAAGCTGAAGCCAATCAAACTGATGTTGCGTTCTCAGCTGTTGATGTAAAGCGTACATTGTAGTGGAATCTGAGGCTGAGGCTCTCACAACATTTGATGGTATATCCAAGGTCCCTGACAGGTGGACTGAAGGGGTATCCAAACCATCACTGTTGAGTTGGCATTGGTAGGACAGTGAGTGAACTCCCAATGTGGACGGGGGTACATACTGCAACCCAGGAGGATGCGCATCCCACTGGACATCACGACGGGGTCTCAGTGGTGGTGGCATTAAACCTCCAGTGTGGAGAGGACCATTGCTGAATGGTTTGTAATGTGCCCCAAGTCCTTGACCATCCCAACGGTTCAGTGCTGACTTGGGAGAAGTCGCAGAAGCTTTAAGGGATGGGTCAACGTAACATGGAGCAGGCTCACGTCTCCACCTCTTGACACGAAACAAGAGTTCAGATGAGGCAGCTGGGACACTGCTAAAGGCAGATCTTTCAGACTGAGGAATTGAAATGCCTCTGCCACGACTGACCCGGGCAAAATGCCCTGTTCACCCAGAAGCTCCACTGGGATGTCCATAATACTACGGGACCAGCGGGTCGATGAACGTTTGAGCCAAGAAATACATGCCAGAAAAAATATATAAATAATGCAACAACCAAGTGCTATCATGTGGCAATGCATGTTGACTATCAGCGGATAGACCCAGGAACGTAAACCGGTTCACACAGCATTTTGCCAGAGCACTAGCGGTGAGATGTGAGCAAAGCTGTTGTCTGCCGAAAAAGCCAAGACAGAAGATCGGCCAAAAACCTCTCCATGATGAGCAAGATGTCAAGGCTGTAGCATTGGACCTGGACGCTCGTCAGTATTCCTCCGATCTCGGTGCCAGCCAGGACTGAGGAGTCATCGGATGCAGCAATTCAGCCAAGTCCGGGTTGACTTCCATCCACTCTTTGGTGAGCGCTGCTAAATTGTGGAACATAAGTTCCTGACAACGACGCAGCTTTGCAACCTCGGCATGGAGGGAGTCAAGCTCTGACTGCATCTGAAACAGGGCGTCTGCCATATCTGAGTACGCCATAGGTTTGACACGTACATCAACCTTGGCCACACGTCCATCTCCGTGGCATTGGACAATGTGATCCGGAAAAGCTCGAGACATGTGAGTGTAGACTTGCGCATATAGGCCCTCTGGCAGGAAGACAATGTACTCGTAATCCTCGTTGAAGGCCGACTCCCAGTCTGGCTTGTATTTGCGCCACTGCGATGGTGTCACATCGACTTCAAGGTCGCGAGGGACTTGGAGAGGGAAAAGCGTCCTCACTGGGTCCAAAACCAGGGATTCAAGTGCGAAGAAACGGAACAGCCGTTCAATTGGCACTACCGACTCCGCACCATAAGTGATCTGGAAGTTGAACTGTGCCGGCGGGTACGACAGTTGCAAACCTTGCATTTTCAGCCAGAAGCGGGCTGAGCAAGGTACCCTTTTTTTGAGCCAGATCACTGCAAAACAATAGAAAATAAAAACTGAGGCAAACATGTTGATGTGAGAGGGGAACGGCTCAATGCTGAACGAATAACATGCATATCACAACGGTAAACAGCACAGAAGAGCCCTCTTTTCACTCAGACATGCGATGTCAGAGAATGAGTGTTGATAGTTGTCATGCCACTGCTCCAGGTGAGCTAAGACAACAGGACCCAATGAGTAGCTACAAAGCCGGGGTCACAGGTCAAGGGACAAGCGATGTCCACGTAATGGCAAAGGGCATCAAGCGTGACCAAGATGGGTCAAAAATGTCCCCGAACCATCAGTTGAGTCCAGGGTCAACGTCCGCTGAACAAGGTGGATCAGATGATCCAGCACCACCCCGAAATTGTGGACTGGCAATGGTATCCTCTAAGGCTCTGGCAATGTAAGCTCTGGTCATCAGCCATGACCCACGGGCATATTCATCTGAGTGATGAGGCACTGCACGAGAAGATTCCAACCTCTGATGAATTTGCAAAGCCAGGTGATCAATGGCATGCACCTCATTGGCAGTTAACCTGTGGGTCGAGACAGACCTAGCGAGGTCCAACATGGAACCATCCCTTAGGGGATTGCCGGTACCATGGTCCGATGTTGAATCGTCAGCATCCATCGTAGTCTCATCAAAAACTGGAGAGCCAAAATCAGGTGGAGCCGTGACAGCCTCATGCAGAAGGACCTGCAGGTGAGCACAGTGCCACGTGAATGCCGTGAACTCGACAATGATGACGACCTCCATGTTCCAGCATTTGTGATACCTGGTACAAGGAGAAACCAGGTGCATGATTCCACCACAGATGGAGGTAGAGATCCTGGAACCAAAAATTCCAAAGACAACCTCCAATCTGAGCTGTCGCTAATGGAGTCCCTAAGACCACGCAACGGGGTACGATGGGACATGGCAAGAGACGACCAGGACGGGTCATGAGAGCCGAAAAACTGCCGTCGGGCAAAGAATTTCAATGCACAGCGGTGCAAAGTTGAAAATTCACTGAATGAAAGAATGAATGGAAAGCTGCGGCCAACCAATGAAAAGCACACGCACTTTTTAGCGCAATCATAAAGGTGAATCCGAAGGAAACCACGATGTGCTGACCTCCAAAAGAAAAGGAATCAAAAATGACCGCTGCTTCAGAGGCCCAGATGAAAGCGAATCTGAGCGATGGCTGCCTCAGCATCACCCAACCTTCGTTCCAAAGTGATGATCTGATCAGCTGACTGGGCGACGAGCTCCATGAGTTGCATCAATGGCAACTGATGCGCAATCAAAATGGTCTCCATTCTGAGGTCAAAAGGGAGACCAGCAGGTACCATAGAAAGGTGATTGTCAGTCGCTGTCGCCACCGCTGCCATGGACTCATAAACTTCGAGGTCAGCCACATAGAAGTGGTATTGGGAAGTAGACACAATGTCGTCATCCCAAGGCACCCAGTGTGTGGGAAGGTCAATGATGTCCGGATCACCTCCAAATCCCAACGGCCAGGCAGTGGGATAAATGATTTCGTTGATGCTACAATCCAATTGGTCCAGGTTGAAGGGAGCCATGATGGAGTTGATAATAGATTGCTGGAAAGGCGCACCAGGCTGAAACTCCACTGTGAACCGAATCTCTTGTGGAAGAACACGACGAGGAGCGGCCATATAGTCAAAGCGATGACAACCACAAGAGGAAAGTAGTGGTAGCCAATGAGAAACCCAGTACAAGACCAGTACAGAAGGATCCAAAAGTCAGTACGTTATTGAGTGACCATTTTGAGTCTGCAAGGAGTTCAACCACAGCGGTCCAGGCCACACGATCTGCGTCTAAGATCTCCATGAGTGATGGGGCCCTGAGATGTTGGTGTCTTGGTTTGAGGAGGGCCAGCTCCAGGAATTTGGCATGAAATCGTTTCAAAACAATCAGGTGTGCCTGACACAACATGGCCAAGGCTGTGGATAGCAAACCCTGAAATCTCGTGACCACCACTTCTGGAGACAGCTGATGGTTGATAACTGCCTCAGGTTGGTCATGCAAGGCGGTCTCACCGTCAGGAGCAGTGACCGGAGCAGTTGTCTTTCATTACGAGGGCGTCTGTGTTCCAAAAATGCCTGCTTATCTGCCTCCGAAGTGCGGCTTTTCCAAGGGATCCATGCCAGACTGTTGCCATCGATCGCCTCCTTCAAGATGCTCAAGAAGGACAGAGATGGCATCGTACTGGAGGCCAAGAGCTCGCCAGGGTAGTTCTGACAAAACTCAGCCCGCAGTGCCTTGACTTCAACCATGGACAGTTTTGCCTTGACCAAGGGGGCTTGCGAAACTTCAGCATTGGAAACCCGTCCAGATTGCACACATTTGGCGATGCGCCCTTTGAGTGGATGCCGGATTGGGGTGAGAATGTTTGGAACTGCTCCCCATCCGGAATGAGGCTGAGGTACTCTACAAACTCTTCCATTTTGGCCTCGTCGTGAACACCATGCGCCAGGAGGGCTATGGTTGTGAAGCCCGATGTGTCACTATGTGTTCGATCTGTATTGAGGGCATGTGGCACTCAATCATCAGTGATCGAAATGTGGCCGGATCGTCCAGAGACGACACAGGTGAAGCCATGACTGCGAGCCCACCGACACTTGGCCACACAGATCACCGAGCCGGTGAATGAGAAAACCCAGTGATCTAGCCAAAATGGAAAACAAATAAAATGTCCGGTGTGCAAAACAGTTCCAAGTAGAGAAGGATGCGAAAACAGTTCAATAGTGACACCAATGAAATAACAGCAAGTACAAAATAGACAAAGATTCCATCCATGGACAACATGGCCATTGAGCCCTGTGGCTATCACGGCGGGATGCCTGACAAGCTGAAATGCTTGTGATGCAGACCATTCAAGCGTGAGATGGTACCAGGCATCACGACACATGATGACGGCAGTGCAACGACCTTATTTTAGCTTCACTCACTGCTCTGGTGACAGATGTCTGCGTGTAGCTTCACCAGGACCAGAACTTTCCAATGTTTCCCTGCTACAAAAAGGAAATCAGCAGCAAGACTATGGGGTGTTTCATGCTTATGACCTACTCTCCTAGCAGGTGTGCGTCCTCTTGACTGCACGCAATCATCACATCCCCTGTCATAAGGCCAATGGCCCCTGCACTCATGTTCCAGCCTGAGACGTCCATCACCCAGTTCAGGGACACTGCACTCCAGATCTGATCCCTCTGGACCATCTGGTGTGTCTGGGCGTTCTGGCAAACCAGGTTCATGGGGACCCCAACCCTCCAAATCTTCTGAATTGGCAAGTGATGGGGAACCAACTTCAGAAACCTCACCTGCCTGAGGTCTATCACCCATGACATCACTGTCATCAACTTCATCCTGTGTCAAGTCCTCCACCTGAGGAAAACCACGCATCATCCTAAAACAAGGGTCCACAAACGTCCAGTCACACCTGCATTTCCGTTCAGATTGACCTGAACCTGTCCTCCCTTCATGGTATTTCCACCCCATGTATCCAGATGTGTCATGGTCATCTTGACAAAACCTGTCATGTTGTGATTTTTCAGAGTCTGAAACATCACAGCACGACATGTAATCACAACATGACATGAATTCATCGTCACTGTCTGTCGTTTCAAACGCACAACATGACCTGAAATCATCTTCACTTTCTGTCGTTTCATCGGTTGTTTCAACGTTTGTCTTCAACAAAACGTCTGTTTCAATGGTATTGGGCTCATGTTCATCAAAAACATGCTGAAAAAGGCGACTGCTTCCAAAATGAAACATCCTACAAACATAGGAAAACGACTGCAACATGTCTGCACTCTTCATCTGAAGTTCCCGACGTTTGGCCTTGACCTTGGCAGAACCTCCTGACCTACCCTTGGTGACCTGCGCAACCTCCTGAGTGGCAACATGATTCACAGGGTCCTTAGTCAAAGTGTCCTTAGTTACCAGGTCCTTAGCCACAACATCCTCAGGGACAACTGCTGCAACTGAACTACAACCACAACAAGTGTTTCGTTTGGTTTGTTTCGTTTCAGTGCTGTCAATGTTCACAGTGTTTCCAGTGTTCATGGTGCTCAAGTCCATCGGTGCTGGTCCAGAACCCTTCACACCACTCTTGTGCTTTGAAAGCAAACTGACTTTCAGCCACCATGCTCTCTCAGAAATCTTCAAAGGAATTTTTCAATTTCTTCAAAAACAATCCACTCTCCTCAGCATTGCCAAGGACTGTCTTCCAACCAGTTTCCAAAAGGGCGTAAGTTGAGATCACATTCAAAGGAATTCCTACCACTACTACACGCTTCATGGTAATCTTCGTCTTACCTACCTTGAATTCCAGATCTACAACCCCTTTGACAGGCAGATCATTGTCTCCTGCACCCTTCAAGCTTGGAGATGGACCAGGATACTCAAAACTCACAGAGTAGTGCTTGACCCACTTCTCAGAAACGATGTGGCATGTATGCCAAATTTCGTGGGTCAGGGGGTTTTGGGGCTGAGAAAAATGAAAAAAGGGTCGAAAGGAAAAAAAAGGATTTAAGGTTTTTTCCTTGCCCTGGCCAAGCCAGTGCATCTGCACCATACTGCTCATAATGCGCGCAAAATGACATTTCAAACTGTGTTTTCACCAAAAAACAACTAAAAATGTGTTAAAACAGCCCAAAATTGCCAAAAAACATGCTTCTACGTAGCTGATGCCAGCAAAACAGATGAAAAATATCCTGGCAATGTGATTTGGCAATTAAAAACAAAAGGGACAGTCACTTTTCCTTGATCAGTTAACCAGAAATATGACCAAAAATGAAAAATCGATGAAAAATTGAATTTTTCGTTACTCTGACCCATAGATTGGTTTGTGAAAAAACCTTATCGCTGTTATGTCAGTGGTCACCATTCATGCCCATTGAAGAAAGCAATGGCCATTTTGACAAATATTGTC